GTGTGTGTGTGTGTGTGTGTGTGTGTGTGTGTGTGTGTTTGAGAATCTCTCTTCTCATCAATAGTAGAATGGTATAATGAGAAAAAGCAGAGGCCCTGACGTTAGAAGGACCAGAGAATTGCACCAAGTATTTTAGAGAGGGAGAGTAAAAGTAGAGAAAACTTTTTTGTTTTTGTTTTCTGAATTGCCCATATTTGTTTCTCAGTGGATACAGACAATACCAGAAGAGCTGTATAATTAAACAATAACCACAGTAACAGTTTCTACTTTGAGAAATTATTGTTCAAGACTAGGAATTTAATGTCTAAATTATTTTGTAATGGATGCACCCTTACTGACATTGCAAATGAAGAACTAGTTTCCCATGAAACCGAGCTGGGGGAGGGCTTCATTGCTCTGAGGTTCTTGCTTGGTGGGATGGTTTGTCCCATGGTACTGGGAATTGTGAGGGGCAGATCAGCAATATCTCCTTCACTCTAATAGAGATCCTAGATTTTAGTGTTGTTGTTTTGAGACATTTCATCAGCTTGTTTCCAGGGCTTTGGAATGGATGGCATGAAAAGCCAGCTCATATTTATGATCCAAAGCATTTAGATTGGCTTAAGGGATGGGAAATCCAAAGAAAACAAGATGACTTTTTAAGCCCAGAAGATAGATCTAGAACTAAAAATGGAGAAGCTTGAGTCTGGAGTAACGTAGACCATCTGGAAACACAGGAAAGGCCAGGGATATAATGTGTGTGGTGCATGTGTCCTGTGAGGCCAACTCAAATTGTCTGGGGTCTGTTTTTATAGCTATGATGAGAAAATGGGGAGATCTTGAGCATTTTTTCTTAGTTCTTTGTAGAAAATTTGCTTTTTCAAAGTCTTACTATCTCCAGTATAATAGTCTAAGTGTTTTCTGGTGGGAACAGTAAGAGATGCAGGAGCCATCTGGGTTGTGTTTCGCAGTGAGAGTTACCAGCCAGGGCCCTGGGGTCCCCCAGTGTGCATTTGGAGCTTAGCCCAGTTACTCTCATCTGACACCTGTGCAGGACACCGTTAAGTATGTACATTTTTGCTTCTGAAGGTCATTTCATCATCAGGACAGCCTCACACCACTCCAATGAGGCTTTTCAGAGTGAAGACAGATGATTGATTTCTTTACTGTAACTTGGAATATTGTCTTTAAATATTGACTCTTTCCAATGCTTAACAAGAAATGCAAAAAACAAAGGAATTACTGAAGGCCTGGGTTAGAATTAGGAGAATGGGAGAGGAAAGCTGTGAATGCCCGCAGGATAAATGATCAAGGAAGTAGAAAACAGAACACAGGAAGTGCTCCACCGTGGACACATGTGGGAGAAGGAAGTGTCCGGGCTGCTTCTCAGATGAGGGCCGGGCAGTGTTGCTGCTTTCCATAGAATCTGAAGGAGTGTCAGAGGATGCTGGTTGTTGACCTCCTTTTGGAAATGCAGAGCTTATGTTGTAAGTGGCACATCTGGGAGGGAAGTCCCGGAAAAGGGGAAAATAACCATAATCAGGTACAAGGGAAATGGGGGCCTGTCTGGGGTTAGAGTCGGAATTCTGTTACCTCATACAGCTTTATGTTGCTTCTGTGCACCTTATCGTCCCCAGCACAGTGCAGGCCTGCGAGTCTACTTGCTGACTGGCTCTACACCGTAACATAAGCTGTGTGAGACTGATTTGGACTGTGCACCCCGAGGCTCCAGAAGCCAGGACAATACCTGGCTTATGGAGGACACTCAACTCACACTTACTGGATGGACTCTGTATGTGCCCTTAGGCTAAGAGGGAAAAAGCATGGGAGATGTTCACAAAATTTCTAAGTGAAATTCGACTGAGTCTTTTTATCTCTTCTTCCATATGACTTAGTGATCATAAAAAGCAAGCCTTTTACAGAAGATTTAGAGTGTTACCTGTTGCCTAGGTCTGGGGAGATAGACCAAAAAAATTCTGGACCCCAATGGGAAGAAATTACCACCGCATGCTCTCTGGCTGCAAAGAGAGAAGGGACGAGGGCAGGACAGCTTCTGGGGACTGGAGAGGAGGGCTGTTCACTGAGGAATGCTACCAAGTGTGACAGGTACTGGTGACCAGAAGCTCACAGGGCCCCACAGGGGCTCACGACTGGGTGGAAGGGTGACAACAAAATCTGTATTTGTTTAATCTTTGACTCATCAAGGGGTTTGTCTTTGGACCTTTGGATCTCTGGAGACAACTCAGAGGTTTTCTCCTGTCTTGCTGCCTTCTAAAAAAACTTTATGAGCATACATTGGGATGCATAGTAAATATTTGGGGAAATGGTCCATATACATAGCTTTATTGAGTAGAATTGATACACAAAACCCACACACATTTAAAGTTTATAACTTGATGGGTTTAGACATTTGCATGGTATGAAGGCATACAATCCCAATACCACACATGCACATCATCCCCAGAACAAAAGGAAGCTATACTACTTCTTTATAAGCATTGCAATGTTTTCTTTGGCCTTAGTTTTCCTCTCTGGGATATGGGTATATTTCTATCTACTGACTTATGAACCACAAGGGGTTTCAATTATTTTAAATTAGTAAACTGCCATATCAATTTAATAACTATAATTTAATAGCATTAATCATACTGGAATTTAGAAATTATCCAGTAAAAGAAAAACGCTTCCCAAATGCATATTCTTTGCTGAAGTGCATTCCCTGTTGTGAGCCTTTCTTTTATTTGAATCTTTATGTCATGAACGCTGAGTTCAGCAAACCCAAAACTGTAGTTTCACATCATGTTGCCTGTGAGGTATTGTAATAAAATAGTTCCTTGGTTATTAATGACAAAGCTACTGGTCAACATACTCTCTTTTGGAGAGCAAACTGGAAAAAATCCACTCAGGGAAATTTTAAAATGCAGCTTGCAAGAAAGCTAA